GCTGCAGCGGTTGTGAAAGCTCTTTATAAATATAGCTGGATTGTATTGTATGCCTTTAGAGTAGCTCTATCTAGTGGATGCATAACGCAAACGCAGACACTATTGTGGCACCTTATAATGCGGTGCACCCTACATATGAAAACAGTTTTAAAATAGGCCATTCATTGAAAGTGTGCCTTCGAAGTGCCTTATAATGCGAAAAATACGGTTTCAGTAATTCAGCTCCATGTTGGGAGTTGAATCTCCTCGTGGTTGTAGCTCCTCGCAGTTTGTAGCACCTTTTGGTTTCTAACATCGTAGGCAAACAGCAAAAGTGTAATAGCACTGCTTCTCCATTCAATAAAAGTGGAGCCGTTGTAAACATGCTGCCAGTGAAGGTGCATACAAGAGCCGATACTCTTCTCCAAACGATGGCATGGCTGTTTGGCACCATATTGAATTGCCTTGTGTATGAAATGTACTGTACAAATAAAGCTGCCTTGACTTAATTCATCCATCCATCCATTTTACAAACCTCACAAGGGTCGCGGGGAGTGCTGGAGCCTATCAGGCAGTAGGCGGGGGACACCCTGGCAGGGGACATCCTGGACCGGTTGTCAGCCAATCGCAGAGCACTCAGTGACAAACAACCATCCGCGCTCACACTCACACCTAGGGACAAGTAAGAGTGTCCAATCAGCCTGCCATGCATGTTTTTGAAATGTTGGAGGAAACTGGAGTGCCCGGAGAAAACCCACGCAGGCCCGGGAGAACATGCAAACTTCACACAGGGCGGCCGGAGTCAGGATCGAACACACGACCTCTGCACTGAGAGGTTGACGCGCTAACCACTGGACCACCAGGCCGCCCATGACATAACAAATTTTTTTATATTTAAATTCTTTATTTAAAGTCTTTAAGAAAAGAAAGATAACAGATAACAAAACCTTTATCAGTCTCGCATTGGAGAAATTCCCCAAAAAACTAAGGAATGTATGCTAATTCAGTGAATTTCTCTTCTTTCAATAATGTGGTGTTAAATTGACTTGACCATTGTGGCCTTCTCAGCTCATATTTTACATGATTAGGATAATGTGATTGCATCACTCGGAACTGGAGGCCCAAATGTGGTGCTCATTGTTGTTTTGAGAGATCTCTCCCTTTATCAGTGTTTAATTTTACTCTTGCTTGTTCTTGTTGTTGGCACAGAAAATTAATAGGCTTCTAACCCATATATTTTCAGGTCTTAAACATGAACTTAATGAATTGGCAGCATTGTGCTTGCGTGACTGTGTTGCACGGTGTGTGGCTGCGAGACACTGTGACTAAAATAATAAGTCATCTCATCCTTTCCTCTACTTACTAAGTCTGCTAATGAACATGCTCAGACGGCAGTGGTTAGTATCACACAGACAGATGCACAGAGAGGCCTATTGATTAATTCCAATACAGGCATTGACACTCATTTTTAAATAAAGCTAAATATGACGACCCTAAGAGCTGTCTTGCCCAATAGGCAATACACGCTATGGACATCCTGGGCTTCAGGGGGGGGGCCATTAAAAAAAAAAAACTTAGGTTCAATATAATTACATTAAAACTAGTTCTTAACTCTTAAAATGGAAAAAGCTAATACTTATTCAAATCTAAAGCAATAGCCAACGAATATTCCACATGATATTAAAACATGCATAATGCCATACCAAATACGCTACAGTATGACATGAAAAATCAGTTTTATTGTTTCTGTTATTTGTTACTGTGATGATGATAATTTTCTTATGAACAATTAGCCTCAACATGGTATGCAGGAGCAGTGCTACATGGTGGCAAGGTTTCACTCTCTGGCCACCACCACACCTCGGGAAAAAATTGGGAATCTGTGACTTTTTTGCCATTTTCACACAGATGTAGTATTCTTAGAGCCTCTTGATACTCTGACACACCTTATTTATTTTCACTGCATATTTGAAGATCACATCTACAATTGATTGGAATGCAAACTCTAAAGTCTTTATCAGGTAAACACTCATTCTTGTAATCAACATCAATCAAAATAATAACTTTCAGACCATAGGAAGCAAATAACATGGACGAAAAGTCATTGTTTATCATACCACCCAGACTTGCTAACTGTTACGAATTGTCTGTATTTTGTTTCACAAAACACACCTTCGTTACAGCTGGAAAGTGTGATGTTCTGGATTAAAAAAAAAAAAAAAAAAAAATCATGGGACACTCGCAGACGAGTCCAAAGTTAGGTGAAAACGAACACTTGATTCAACCTGGCGTCGCTGTTCATTTTAATAGATTCAAATCAGAGGCAAGAAACAATGGCAGCCACACACAGTGAAGCTTCATTAACTGATAATTATGTGCATTAACGCTCGGAAAGGGTGGCCCGGTGGGCCAGTGGTTAGTGCGTCGACCTCACAGTGCAGAGGTACCGGGTTCAATTCCAGCTCCGGCCTCCCTGTGTGGAATTTGCATGTTCTCCCCGGGCCTGCGTAGGTTTTCTCCGGATACTCTGATTTCCTCCCACATTCCAAAAACATCCATGGCGGGCTGATTGAACACTCCAAATTGTCCCGAGGTGTGAATGTGAGCGCGGATGGTTGTTCGTCTATGTGTGCCCTGCGATTGGCTGACAACCGGTTCAGGGTGTCCCCCACCTACTGCCCGAAGACAGCTGGGATAGGCTCCAGCACCTCCCGCGACCCTTGTGAGGATAACGCAGATCGGAAAATGGATGGATGGAACGCTCAGAAAACAATGGTGTGCTAACAACAATTTCATTGATCATAGAATAACGAATGACATCACACTGCACTGTGTTATACAGTACTCTTGGTATCACAATTAATGTAATTGGAATACGCCCAACAGCCACGGCTCGGTGAAGTGTGGCGAATGGTGAGTGATGTTTTTAATCATTTGTTTTTATTTTGGTCCTTGAAATTTTCTTCCGGGTTTGTTGCTCGTCAGGATTTCATGTTGGGAAAACGATTACGCTGTTGAATTTACGAAATATAATATTTTTTTTCATGCTTTATTTAATGCATTTTGTTGAACTCTTTCATGCACCCTGTAACGTGATAACATGATAAGCTGTCCACTGGAGTAATCGCTGTCCCTGAAAGGGATGATTACTTTACTTGTGACATAAAAATATTTCATTTGGGATTTTGTAAAATTACCTCACACTTGACCTTTAAACCTACAACGTACGGTTTACATTGGTCATTATTTGTCAATCAAAATGCTATCAACTTTTCACCCATTTATAGGTAAGAATTTTTAATTTCAAATTGTCTGAAACATGTTAGTTGTTCTGAGTTTTTTCTTCTACTGCATTTCCATGTCATATGAAAGTGCTGTCTGACTGCGCATCGTCATTTCACGGTAATGTCAAAGGCGTATCTAATCTAACCTGCACATCAGAATAAAAAAAACAAACAAAAAAAAAACGTATATTCTTCTGTACATGCAAATTAGACAACACGTACAGGTATGTATTTGGTTGTACTTTTTTATATTTCAATTGCTTGCATAATATTTTAATATAGATTTAAAATGTATTATATTTAAAATTTGGTGACATATGTTATCAATTAAAGCTAATGGTATGATGAATTAAAGCCAATGGTAAAAACAATGCTGTTCCATCCACGTAAATTTTATTAAAATTGACACATTGAATAAGGGCCGTCCGGGCTGTGAATGTGTATGGCACTCAAAATGCGGTCACCACCTTGAGGCTTGAAAGGAAACACTTGTCTACCCTGAGGTGTTTGCGAGCCTGAGGTACTATTGCGGTGATCAGTTTGGACAACTTAACATATTTCTATTCATGCTCAGATTTAGTCACACAGAAGCACACAAACCTGCACAAGTAAACATGCAAGTATAAAGTGTTAAGATAGGGCAAGGGGATGCCTCCGGGGTGCTACATTTTTCTGTTGAGGAGCAGAGGGACCACCCAGCAGCTGCTTGCCATTTCCTCACTGTCATCCCAGCGGGCCAAGTGTGTTTCTGTCTGTGTGTAGAGGCAAGATTGTGAAGCTTTCACAGTGGGATGAAACGAGCAAAGTCTGTGCATGTGCGTATGTGTGTCGTCCCATCGGGTGAGACTGCAGCCAACACCAGGAAATGGATTGGCATTGAAGACCTAGCAGGGGATTCGGGGGTGAAGATGAAAGAGTTCCTACACACACTCACGCAGAAATACTGCTTCTGCATGCACTCATTATCTCTGCCACTTGGGTTTCACTAAATCTCGTCCTCTTGCAGACGCAAACCTAAACAACCAAGCACCCACGCATGTATCTGCTAAAGACACTGACTGACATAAAATGTACTTTAAAAAAGAAAAATACTGGATATATATACTGTATGCTGACATATGTTTTTAAATTTTAAATGCCAAATTGCAATTGATATCATTTTGGCACTGCATTCAATAAGTGAAAATGTCTCCAATTTGAATCTTCCATTTTTTGTTTTATAAGTCAAACTATCAAATGATCTCCAAAAGATTATAGTGCCCACCTACTTGGGTGTCATCCCTATGATTCTCACAGTCACTGGGGGGCATGCGGTATTTTGCATTCTATTTTAAAAAACCCTAACCATTGTGGCGAGTGGAACATGACCGCGGGTCACAATAATCCCACAAATTGGTGTGTATGAATGTGTTTTAGTGTTGTGTGTTTGTGCAATTATGTAAACCCACACACGAAACAGTATTGAACCCTTTATGCACCCTGTAACCTGATAAGATAAACTGTCGACTGAAGTAACCACTGTCCCTGAAAGGGTTAGTGATCATAAGGAGGATTTAATGGTTATATCCTAATTCGTACTCAGATTCCTATGATGTGTTACATTTCAAAATCGGTAGCTGACCAATGAAAATCCACTTTGTTTACGACTTCAATTACATTGTCTGTGCAGCCAAATACCGTATTTTCCACACTAAAAGGCGCACCTTCAATGAATGGCCTATTTTGTTGTTTTTTTTTCATATATTGGACACACCGCATTATATGACACAATCTCCAATGCACCCACTAGATGTAGCTACACTCAAAGAAATGCCAACAGAACTCTACACTACACTACACCCTGATTTATATAGCGACGATCAGATGTCAGTAAAACTTATTTAATAAAGCAGAGACACAGTTCACTTAACCAACAGCAAGTTATAACATTGACTCGTTAACGTTTAACTCTCTTGCCGCTGCTCATTTTCCGTGTTTAACTGCGAAACCGATCGCCTTAAGTTTGAATTCTGCGTTGTAAGCATGTCTCAAGCAAGGAGCCATTTTGAGGTTGACATATTACCATAATGACCATACACAAGGCGCATCGGATTTTAAGGCACGCTGTGAGCTTTTAAGAAAATGGAAGGCTTTTAGGTGTGCCGTTTAGTGCGGAAAATACGGTAACCAAACTGAGAGAAACAGAATTATAAAACATCAATCCACAATCACATCGTTTAAAATTGGGTTATTCAAATGCAGGATTTACTCTGTCCGCTCATGCATGTAAACGGGTTATTCCAAAATTTTGAAATTGTTTGACATACACCCAGATATTGCCCACATGTAAACATAGTCACCGAAAGCCTAAAACCGCAAGGGCAAAACAAGCGGGAATTCGGTCAGTGTTTCCTTCCTTCCTTCATGACAAGACTCCGTTCACTGACCGAACTGGTATCATGTTGTTCTCATTCACGAATGAGAATGGCATTACGTTTACTGATTGACGTTTGTGATTGAAAACATTACTTTTGTATCTTTTAAACGTCATTATAATCAGTTCAGAAATGAGCACATTAAGACTTCATTTCATTGCGTCCGCATGGCCTTTGATGGGGACGTCACCCCACACAATCTGGCTGTCGGTTAGCCAACTGCTAAGTTGCTCCATGAAAAATATATTGTAGCTTACATTACCTCTCAACGCAGGGAAAAGACATTACCGAGAGGAACTTATGTCGGTCCCTGCTATCTCTGGCCACTCCAAAAGTGCCGAAATACATTTGCAATAAGCATCCAATACAATAGGGCAGAGCTTTTCGCATTTAATATGCAGTTCATTTTTAACGCTTTCTAAATTCCACTTTATTCGTTACTGCAGGAGATAGGGGTTAAGCATGCATTAAATGCATTTTTTCTTCCTGTAGTTCCGTTGAACCATTACAACAGTGATGATTTTCTTAAATCAAATTATATGATGGGAGGAGGAAACATCCACTAAAAATATTTTTTTACTTTTACACTTCAAGCAGGTTTCAGAGCCTGTCATTTTATTACTTTTACTTGAGTAATTATTTGACTGAGTACTTTTACCCACTTATTATTATTATTTTTTTTTTTTGTTCTGACACAAGTAATTGGAGTTCCCATCTCTCTTTATTGCTCGGGAAAAGGGGCCAACTGTATATAGCTATATTTAAGTGCCACATAAACATATGCCCTTTCTGGTTCTGCTCCATCTCTTTAGTGCTTGGCACTGACAGCGATCTTCACATCATTTCAGTGTCTTCCACTTGGTTGGTTCGCTGTCAGCATTCGTTCCAGCATCAACACCGTGAGATTTATTGACATTTCTCATACTGCTTGATATCAGTCACTTCCATCATTCATCTTTACTCCTGTCTCACTCTGCAATGTAGAATGATTTTTTTGTTGTTGTTACGATGGCCGATTTTTCCTCACAACTGCAAATTCTCTGCCTGAGTCAGCCGAACTTATACTGTGTAAAGCAGGCTTTCTGAAAGGCTAAAAGAATACACCTACTTTGTGTGTTCACCTGGTGGCAATAGTGGAATTAATCCGTTTTATACATGTCAGCCCGACTGTTATTTACTTCCACTGAGGTAACACAGGTTCAACAATTAATCATCTGACTCCGGATAGGAATTGCTGACCAAAAGTGGAGTCCCCAGGCAGTCTTGTAATCCATCAGGTGTCTGCCATTTGTATCTGTACATCTTTCGGGATATTTGCTCCAAGTGCCTTCAAGACCTTTTTCTTTTCCCACCAACAGTTACGAAAGTTAAGAATCTGTGAAGTAGTGTGGAGCGAATATGTCGGTGCGGGAAAATGTCAACTTGATCATGTTGCTATGTGTAGACAGTATGCTTTACATGAATACGACATGGGCAGTGGTTGTGTTGCTTGTGGTTTTTTTTTTTTTTTTTTTTTTGGGTGAATCAGAGCCGAGCCTTGATGGATTTGGGCCAGATTTTTTTCGTATAATGAAAATAAATAAATGAGAAAAGCATACAGTAGGCACTAGAGAAGCTGACTTTTAATGTGTACTGTGTTTTCACTGTCCCATATACTGTATGTTTACTTGGCGAGACAAATGGCAACTAGTCAGAATGTCAGAGAGATGCTGGCGGTGAGCTCAACAAAATGCATTTGAAGAGTTTAGTCATCTGGTGTTATTTGAAACAATTAGGTTGTTTCATCATTGGTAAAAGGTCCACTCTCTAATCCAGGAGTGTCCAACCAGCCAATCGCGGTTGACTGGTAGACCGCGGACTGCTCCCAAGTTGACCATGAAGGGTGTTGGGGGGAGAAAAAAAAGTGGTGTGTGTGTGTGTGTGTGTGTGTGTGTGTGTGTGTGTGTGTGTGTGTGAATTTATCATCTTATGTAGAAAGATGGCAGAGGAGTAATAAATGTTTGGTAAACCCATGGGCCTTTTACCTCTTCAGAATTATCACTGTGCTTCTCCTTTATTTGAGAATAGTTCATGAGAATGTCTTCCATTATGTTACTTTATATGATGTAAACCCTATAACCCAGCCGCTGGGGGGCAGTGCCCTCCCCTGGGGGTGCACTGTTCCCCAGTGCCGGTCCCAAGCCCGGAGAAATGGGGAGGGTTGCGTCAGGAATGGCATCCGGCGTAAAACTTTTGCCAAGACGACCATGCGAGTTGGTAGGACGGTTTACAGGGGCGGATGGAAATTACTGACTCGCTGTGGCGACCCCTGAATAGGGATGTGCCGAAAGGAGAAGAAGAAAGAAGATATGATGTAAACCCTATCAGATTCATATCTACATTTTTTTAATAGAATAAAATATCACCTTGGTTAGTAAAGTCTCATTTTATGTCCCTTCAAATATGGAGCTGAGGTGACAGACTGGAATTATAGCTCATCGGCCAACCCTCGGCGCTCCCAAACCAGAGACGTGGGGGTGACCCAGGTTTGATCCACGCGTTGGATTAGTCCATGATCCAGGTGTCCGATTATGAGGTTTTGCGATCAAGCGACTGAATACAGTAAACGCTGTGGTGATTTTGGGGTAACCTAATGTCTCAAATATTCAAAATGGGCAGATGTTTGAGATCAATAGGTTAATACCCCAATGGCGGCTGATGTCTTTTTGTGACATTTTTAAAAGTTAATTCAGAGGACAATAAATCAACTTTGGGTCAAAGTAGACAGACTTGTGAGGGCTCATTTTGTTTGTTCAAACCCACTGTTATTTGTGAACATGCAGTTTTCTGCTTTTCTGAGCTTGGCATTGCACTTTGTATGTGGAAAAAAAAAGACTATTTTGTCACGTTTCATCAAAATATGCAGAGAATTTACCTTACTACAGCATTAACATTGTTGCTCTGGATAGTTTTACTTTGGTTGAGTCAAGGTGATCGATGTGTAGCATAACCCATGAGAAACCATTATCCCATTGAAAATTAATGTACTTTGGGAATTAATTCCGACATGTCGACTAAATTTGGGGTAGATGTCGACACAGTTCTTCATGAAGTGCATCAAAAGTTGACTTATTTTGCATCAAAGTATACAATTATAACAAGGCTTGCACATTTTTCAAAATTTGTTTACATTCTTGAAAACCAAAAATATCTCGCCAATACATTATTTCTTAAGTAATTGTATGTGTAAGAGGTGTGTGAGTGTGGAGGATTAAATTAAAGGCACTCAATTCACTGGTTTCCAGGATTTATTCACCGCAGGAGACAGTGTGGCACACAGTTTGCCTTCTTAAGACTGCACATATCTGCTCCCATCAGCAATCATCATTGCATTGTGAGGGAGGAAGGAAGCTGGTATGGAAGCCCAACAGGTATGATGGAAGCAGAGTGTGCAAATTACACAGGAAATGATGAAATATTCATCAATAAATGACTTACTGATATTAAATTCACAAATGTACAAAAATCACGATGAAATGATCATTTAAATTAAAATTAGATATAAATAAACAAATAAATTATATATACGGTATATACATATATATATATATATACCCACACACAAGCAGGCAGGAAGAAAAATAATACATCAATTATATTTTTAATTCCATACCACATTCATACTATGAGTCAGAAAATGACAAAGAATAATCCCAAAGGTCTAAAAGTACTCACGGATCTTTCTGGGACCCCTTCATAATTCATCGTGCTGCCAGCATATGGATTGCACAGCAAAACAAATTGTTTGACATCACTGTACCATTTCCTTCACCGTTCATTACATGATTCCTAAATTTTCACAAGGGAGTATCATCTTTTACTCCCCATCAAGCCCCCATCCATTATGTATGGAGGCCTCGAGTACGAAACACTCACAATGAAACAGTAGTCCTAAAAGGTACTCAGCATCACAGACATGATGCTGCTCTTGGAGATGCAAATGCTAAGAGCCAGGGGTAAGGGGGAGTGCAGTCCCATCACTCACTTGCCGATAATCCCATTCTTCATTGAACCCTGCAAGGGGAAAATCCCTTTTTCAGATGTGTGGATTGGGGGTTTCATTCCAGTTTGTGAACCATTTTTGAATTTAAAAAGGGAAGGGATTAACCAACTACAATGGAACCTTGAATTGCGAATGTTCCTTTTTAAACGAACGCTTTGGGTTAGACATATTTTTTTTATTTATTTATTTTTTACAAAAGTGACCTCGATTTACTGAGTTACTTACTCTGTGGTCTTGGCACAGACAAGCAAATTGTCAAGAATGTTGGTCCAATTCCTTGCTGGGTGGCGCATGCTTACCACCTCCATCCAAAAGACAGAGGCAGCTTGGGCAGGTTCCATCATCGGCCTTCTGCCACCCTTCTAACTTCTCCAGGACTGAAACACAAGAAAATACAGTGTAAAACACAACTATAAGCAACGACGATGCTTT